CCTGCCCCTCGGCACCCCCGCTCACGCTGCCCTCTGCTCCCCCTCCGCAGTCAGCGAGGCCGGCGATGGCAAGGTGGAGCTGGTCGTCCGGCTGCAGGCGCGGGACTCCTCCTGGGTCTGGATCTACGCGCTGCTCCAGCTGGAGGCCCGGGAGAATCCCATCAGCTGCCACAACTACGTCATCAGGTGAGCCGCCACTCCGCCCCCGCCGCCGCGGCCAGACCGCGCTCTGTCTGTCCCTCCCGCGCTCACCCTGCTCCTCTCCTGTCTGCCCACAGTGACGCGGAGGCCTGGAGCCTCAGGCAGCAGCTGGCGTCCGAGGAGAGCCAGCTGGCCTTCGTGCTGCGCGCGACCGCCTCCTACCAGGAGAGCCTGCTGCAGTCGCCGGGCCAGCTGTCCAGCCCGGACCAGGTCTTCACGCCCAGCAGCGGCGGCCTGTCTGTCCAGTCCTTCGACTTCGGCTCCGTCTGCCCCGCGGACAGCGGCCAGGAGCTCTCCGACGAGGCGGGGGCCGGCGGCTCCCAGGGCGCGGCGGCTCTGGGGCCGGACGAGCCCATGCAGCTGGGCGGGACGCGGTCCAGCATCTCCTCGGCCGAGGAGGAGCCCCCGGCCCCCGGCCAGCAGCCCCCCGGCGACGCCCTGGACTTCTTTGCCCGCAACTGCGCGTTCCTCCCCTTCCAGGCCGACCCCCTGCTGCCCGGCCCGCCGCCCAAGGAGTTCGTCTGCACCCCCCCCTACACCCCGCAGCAGGGCGGCTGCAGCTTCCTGTTCGGGGCCCCCGACCAGACCTTCCCCCCCTCCGAGACCACGCCCTCCGAGCTCTTCTTCCCGCTGGACAGCTGCAGCAGCGCCGCCTACGAGAAGCTGCCCCCGACGCCCGACAGCCCCGGCGACGGCGACTGCACGGTGATGACCGTGCCCGAGGTCAGGGGGCCCCTGTACATCGACGTGCCCATGGTGCCCGAGGGCCTGCTGACCCCCGAGGCCTCGCCCATCAAGCAGCCCTTCTCCTTCTTCAGCTACTCGGAGAAGGAGAGGGCGGAGATCAGCCTGCTGGCGGAGCAGATCAGCACGCTGGCCGAGGGCCTGAGCTCGGCCCTGTACCCCGACCCCCTCTTCGGCGCCAAGCATGCCCACGTCGCCCGCAGCTCCTCCCTGCCGGCTGGGGTGCCTCCCGTCCCGCCCCAGCCCGGCCTCCTGGTGGACTTTTCCCAACTCAAGCCTTGGAAGAGCATCGACTTTTCCCTCCTGGCAGAGGACGCCTCCCTGTTTGAAGAGAACGTCTTCGAGAGCATCCTCAAGGACTTCTCCTCCTCCTCCTCCTCCTCCTCCTCGCCCCCCTCTCCCAGTGTCCCGTCCCTGGCCGCCGCTCCGCCCCTCCCTCCCGCCAAGGTGGGTGGCCAGGTGACGGCGAGGCGCCCCGCCCCCCAGTTTGGGGGGACGGTTGGGGGCGCTGGTAGTAGTCCACTCAGCCTGGACGCAGCGGATCCTCGCGTCGAAGCGGCGCACCCTAGTAGCGTGGCAGGGGTGGCGGCCGGGGGGGTGCCCTTGGCGGCGCCCCTCTCGCCCCCCTCCACCGACCTGTCTCCGGAAGAGCAGTCCTTCCTGGAAGAGCTAGCCTCGTATGAACCAGTGTTTGAGGCGAGTGCCTCGAGCTGCCCCTGTGATGGGTTCCACGATGAGTTGTATCAACTCCGGAATCACATGCAAGACAACTTCCATGAAGGTGAGTCTG